AATTCTGCATTATGACCTATTATCAGCCATGAAGATTTCATTACAATCTTCCAACTCCAAAGGGATAAAAATAGTCAAAGTCAAATAAAAATTACTATTCTGCTACCTGCCCATTTTAGGTTGTTCCTAAGTCTTTTAAGAACTATGGTTACATCTTTCTCACAAAAACGTCTCCTTAAATGAAAATACAGATCCTTTTTATTCACAGTTCAAAATGCTTTCAAATAGGTAGGGACTGTTGCAATTAGACATTTCGTAAAGAACTGCCCTTTCCAGGTGTTAGAAACAGTTTGAGACATAGAAGTTAACTGACTTCATGGGATGAATGGATGTATGTAGAAATGAAGAAAAATCCCCTAAGCCACTAAAATGAGTGCCGAGTGTCAGTCATAACAGGTACTTGATACTTAAACCTCTCACTTTACCGTAAATGCCTGAAGAGTCTCGAGTTCTCTAATTTTAAGAGTAAGCTTGCTCTTGTCTTTCCTCAAAGTACGGTTTTCGTTTTGGGCTTCTAGGAGGTTGGCTGAGATGTGGCTGTTGGTTTTGGCCAACTGGCCAATCTCTTTTTGGAGGATAAAGTAGCTCTCAGCCAATTTATCTTTCTCCTTCAGAAGCTCGTCCTTCTCCAGCATCAATGCACTCTTCTCAGTCAGGAGGTCCTTGTTGTTCTGAACCACCTTGGCTCGCTCAGCCAGGGTCACCTCATGGTTGAGGCGCAGGTCTTCCAGGATCTTGGTGAGGCAGCTGTGCAGTTCTTGCAGCTCTAACTTGGATTTGGACAAGGTGGCAAAATCACTTTTCAGAGTCTCAATGTTACCAGCAAGCCGAGCAGTTTCTGCACTCAAGAGTTCCTTTTCCTTAATTATCTCTGCAACTTTTTGCTCCAATTTGGTTTTCTCTTGGATTAGCACGAACTTCTCAGACTGGAGCTCCTTAGTACACCCTGTTAGCTCTTGTACCTCCTGCTCCAGGAGCACGATTCTCCCGTGGAGCTTGTTGTTTTCATACAAGGATGACTCATTTTCCTTCGCCCTGATTTCATTCTCCAGGAGCAAGGACTGCTGCATTGCACGGATGTCCTTGTTTAATTTCTGGCACTCACCTTGCAGGTTCAGCCCATCCCTCAGTAAAATGTTGTTTTCAGAATAACAATTCTTAAGTTCAGCATCTAAACTGTCCTTGGCTTGCAATATGCAAATGTGCTCTTTTTCTAGATTCTTTTGAGCATCTTGAGCTTCTTTCAACATCAAAGAGAGATCACACTTGCTGGCCGCTAGTTCTTGGTTTTCCTTTTTTCTTTCTTGAAGCTCCTTCTTCAGGGCATCCAGATTACTGAGGAGGTTCATCTTCTCATGCACCATTATTCTTCTGCTCGCGGACTCTTGATCATATTTCCTTTTAAGGTCGCCAATGGCTTTGATGGAATTTTCTCTCTCTACAAGTAAATCTCCATTTTGCATTTCCAGTGCAGATTTTTCTCTTAGAAGATTCTCATGCTGCTTCTTGAGTTTGGTCATTTTCTGACATACCATCTCCTTCTCAGAAGTCAGGTAGGTGATCTTCTCGCTCAGTCTCAGCTCAGTATGGAAAACCTCTTCTGAGCATTTGCTGAGCTTTTCAGTGAGAATCCTATTTTCATCGGCAAGCTCTTCTTTTTCAGCCAAGAGCCTTCTCTCGGATGAGGCCAGGGTTTCTTTCTCATGCAGAAGTTGGATGCACTCAGAGTCTGTGATCTCCCGGCTCGTCTTAATTTCTTCCAGGAGCTTTGTGAGGCTGGTGTTGGTGGCCTGGAGTTGCAAGGTCTCCAGCTCAGCCTTCCTCAGGTCTTTGCTGGCATTATCCAGCTTTGTGTGTAGCTCTCTGGCCTCGGTACTTAGCAGCTCTTTGGCCTGGAGGGTGGCCTCCAGGTTGGTGGTCAACTTCTCTTGACTTTGAAGCAGTATGTCTTTCTCAAACTGTAGATCTTTGTTGTTCTGAAGGATATTGTCTCTTTCTATCTTTAGGGTCAGGCATGTGGTATCAAGGCTTGACTGTTTCTCTAAAGTTGATTTTTTCTCAGCTGTGAGCTCTTCAATCTCTTGTACCAGGGCTTTCTGATCTTTGACTAATTCCTCATAAGAGCTTTGCAGTTTCTGAATAATTTCATCCTTATCTTTAGTCAAGAGAAGGTTTTCGGCAGCAAGCCTGTTGATCTGATCCTCCAAGTGGGTTTTCTCTTCCCGATCCTTCTCAGATGTAGCCATCAGAGTTTCTCGGCTAAACTGAAGCTCTGCTACAAGCACCTGCATGCTTGCCTTGGAAGCTTGCAGAGAGTCATTGTCCCTATTGATCTTCAGGAGTTCTTCCTGTGCGAGATGGATATTTTTAAGCAACTGATCTCTCTCAACAGCCAGAGCTTCCTTATGGAGATGTTCCTGCTGATAAAGCTTCTCAGCCTCCTGCTTTTCTTCTAAGCCTCTCTCCTTTTCTAAATTAAGAGCTTCATTTACTGACCACAGTTTCTGCTGGTCTTCCTGAAGCAGAGTAATTTTGGCCTCCACCTCCACCAGCTTTGACAAAAGTGAGCCTTTCTCTAACTTTAAATCATTTCCCTCCTGAGCAAGAAGCTGCTTCTCTGATTTCAGACCCCTCAGCTCTTCTGACATTAGTTCAATCTCTTTTTTGGCTGATGTTAACAAATAGGTTAGCGACTACAGAAACAAAAGATGGGAAGAATGGAAACAGAACATGAAATCAAGCAGACAAATGCAAGCCCAAATAGCTAAATCATAAAGGTTTTTTTTGTTTGTTTGTTTGTTTTAAAATAGCTTCATCAAAACACCATTTGGGTAACTAGGGTAAGAACAGAGCCCATAAAAGGATAATAAAATTTGTAAGGTTATCTTTGCAAAGAGCTTATATGTCTACTTGCTTCCTTTGTCTTCAAGACCACTTGTGAAATTATCCCTGATTGATAAAGGGATCAGATAAAACAGTAGCTTGAGTGTGACATAAAGTCATAAGATTCTTTCCTGACATTCTCATCATTTCTACCACAATTCAAAGAACTGCAAAAAGTGTTTTGTTTTGTTTTTAAACCAAAAATAGGGGCAGAAAGAGAAAAGAAACACTTGCTTTTTCAAATTAACTACAGAGTCTTACTTGTTGAATGAAAACCACTGCATTAGTCTGAGACTGATTTAGTCCTGATAACGCATAGACATACTGTCTACTGTCTATGGCTGCTTTCCTAGTGCACTAACAGAGTGTAGCAACTGTGACAGGTACTGTAGGGCTTTCAAAATCCAAGTTAAGCATTTAATACCTTGCAGAAGTCTGCTAATAAATACAGAATCTATTCATCAACTGACAGTGAAAGATATGAGCCAGTTCACAAACTGCAGTTATTTTATGTGTGTGTGTATGTGGTGTGTGATAGTCTACTTAACCGAAGGTTGTAAATGGGATTTGTTTCAAGTCCTACATACGCTTTTCTCTATTTTCTATTTATCAGACTCCTATATATCCTATCTAAACAGTTCTCTAACACCTTAAAAAGAATTATAGTATTGATTTTTCCTCGAACACTAGAAATTGTAAATTACAATGGGAAGGCTGAACTTCATCCAGTCACCTGAGTCAAATGTGTATCAGCACCGATGCAACCCTGATGCCATAAAATGAAATTCAAGAAATCACACTCTGCTTGAGTTACACGGTTTCCTCACTGCCTTTGAAGCCAGCTTCCTTGTCAGTAGGCTCAGAGGAACCTTGCTGGGGGCACAGCCAAGCCCCCTCTCGAGAGTTGTTGTTGTTGTTGTTAAGTGCCATCGAGTCGGTTCCGACCCTCTCGAGAGTACTTCAGTCTAATTCTACCTCTGTTCCTTCACTAGGCACTCTCTGCACCTGTCTCTCTGCTCACTGGCCTCACTTGGCTTCTCCCTGTCGCCTGTTTGCAACGAGTATCTCCTAACCCTGGTGCAAGGCGGCAGCAAAGAGGGCCAGGGTTAGAGGAGCATGTGTCTCCATATAACAGACAGAGTTCAGCAGAGGAAGGGTCTTTGTGGCAGTTGGAAAACAAGCAGCAGAGGGGGTGATGGCGACACAGACATTCAGGGGGAAGACCTGTACCCATCACCACTGCTGGGGAGGAATGGCACTGTGGGCTTGAAGCAAGAAGAAATTTATCATCCTGTTAGGCAATTAAAAGGTTACGGTTTCTAAAGGCTAGGTACCCTCATCCTGGTTGCTGCTCTTTCTAAGCCCCTTTGCAGCCTTGTGTCAAAGCCAGAGCAAACCTCCCCAAACATACTTTGGCTTTGTCAGCTTGTTTTCTCAGCTCCTCCATCTCCTGCAACAGGTCCCTGTTATCCTCCTGCGCAGCTTTTAGCCTCCGCTCTGTGTCTGCCAGCACCTTCTGGAGGTCCTGCAGGGCCTCGTCGTGCTTGGTTTTTGTCTCAGAACTGGCTTTCTCGTACCTGGCCTTCAAATCCTGACATTGGTTGTGGCTCACCTCCATCCTCTTTTCCTGCAGAAACCCCAGGTGAAGGGAGAGAAGTCATCCAACATGATTGTACTGCCCTGCCTCCCCTGCTGGCAAAAAGTCCCAATCATTCTGTGCTTACCAGGTCCAACAATTTCATCTGCATCTCTTTCTTTTCTTCATTTTTTTTAGCTGCTTCTTGTTGGCTCTGCTCAGCTTTAAGAGTTACTTCCCCAATACTTTTCTGCAGAACATCTGCATTATCGTTTGCCTTGGTAAGTCTTTGCTGTAATTCTTCTATATATCTAAAGTCAGTTTTACACAAGGTGTCACGTTTTTCAGAAATGTGCTATAACTACTAGATTTATACTTGAAACATATGCTATCAACAGTAATTATGTTAATTATTATAAGTTACCATAAATTACTAACCTCTGAAATATACAAAAAAAAAAAAATATATGACTTGCCCTTAAGAATAATTTTTGACTTTGATAGTTATAAATCCATGAATAGAGTAACAACTACTAAAATTATGAGGGTTTATTGTATATATCAATGAAAATTTAGTGAAAAGGTTAGCATAAGAAAGGAATTGAGTTTCACAACATTACAAAATTTTAGAAGATTTAATTATCAAAATTCATTCTAGTGCCTTCCGAGAACAAAAGATATGAAAATGACAATGACTTGACATTCCCAATAAAAATGTCAACAAAGATGTTCAGAGAACATGGGTCAGCCACCTAATGAAGGGTGTGAAATGAATCAGGAAACAGGGAGGATACTTGGGTGCAGGGGACTTCTGGGTTTTACACCTACAAAAATGGAACTTCTCAAAGATATTCTGCCAAAGTCACCTGTGTAGGTACACCTGCCCCACAGCTAGTCTGACCAAATTCTGCTAACCAAGGTCTAGTCACCCATCCCCCAGTAACTCTCTGCATTGTGTGAGGGTCAATTAACTTTGTCAGTTTTAATACTTTCAGAATCAGAATTCCAATGGTCCTCATATGTCCTCTGAGAGGTTTTCCCTTACAAAATAAAACATGATTTTTTTTTTTTGTAGGACTACTATTAATGGAAAACAATGAAAACAAAGGGAACCTCAGAACAAAAACCAGAACAGGCACCAGAACAACTGTTGCAGGTTTCATTCCAGATCATTGGAATAAAGCAATTTTTGCAATAAATAAAGTCCCCTATATTTTCTGGTTTCCTGCCTCATATAAAAGCTATGCTGACATTATACTGTAGTCTATTAAGTGCAAGATATCAAAAGGGTTCTACATAGTGGGATAGGTTAAAAAAATTTTTTTAGAAGGGCAAATGGAGGCAATAAGGAAAGGAAAAGCAACAAGAAATGTTAAACCATAGTAACCCCTAAGGATATCGGCGCTCCTCTCCCATCTAGACCTTGCTCAGAGACTAATTAAATGTAGGCCCGACTATGAGCAAAATCATACATACTTTTCTTTCAGACGTAACTCATCGTTCATTCTCGTCAGCTGAGAAGAATTATCTCCCGACATCCTCATCATCTCTGTAATATCGTTTTCTAATTTCTCCTTCGCCTTTATTAATTGCGTTTCTCTGCCATCACTTTCTCTGAATTTTGCCTCCATATCTGAATATATATTGGGGAGGGAGGGAAGAATGACACTCCTTAATTTCTTTTCATTACAAAATATTTATAATTAAAGACCATAGGTGGAATCCTGATCCCCATCCAGAATCTTCAGAGGTGGGAAACTGTCACTTGAAAGGACAAGCAGACCAGCCTGAAGTGGCCAGAAAAACAGAAGATACTTCTTGAAAGAAAGACCGGCAGGAAAAATACAAAACAACAATGGCAGTCGGATTGATTACTATAAGAACAAGCAAGTTGTTTACCCGGGAGCCATCAAGGCAAGCTGTTGGGTCCCCTCAGGGCAAAGCCCCTTCCAAGACTGCGACTCAAGGGGAATACAGTAACAGGCACATGCTCTTGCTGGTGACCATGTTGGTCTACCGATGAGGGGAAGTGGGGGGAAAATAGCAATGAAGTTGTGAGCTAAGTTCAACCATGTTCAATAAACTCCTCTCAACCTAGGTTGAGATCTGGTTGGCCAGCAATATGGCAAGACCTGGGGATTTCTGGGCACAGGGACAGGGACATGACCACAGAGGACTAGAGTGGAGAGTGAAGCATCAGCTGATGTGAAGTGAGGAGAGATGCACAAGAACACCCATACTTGCAGATAGTACCCACTTGACCTGGCTTCAATGGCTGATGATCAGAACTCGACTAGAATAAGGAAAAAGGAGTAATCTGCTACAATGTGATGAACTTGACCTATACTTACAGATGTAGTAGCTCAAAAGAGGGAATGAATCTTTATAGCGAGGATCATTCCCACCCCCTTGATACACAGGGTTGACAGGGATGGGCAACTTAGACACTGGCTACCAAAACAGGAGGGGACTACAAAGGCACGAAGTGACTGGATTACAAGCTTTCAAGAGGGAGCCTAGTTCCAGAAGGTGCGGGGGAAGATAGAATCTCCACTGAGTGGTTTCCAACCTGTCTGGATGGGGCTGGTGAAAGGAGATGGGGATAAGACTCTCGTGGCTCAGTACTGAATAGGTGCTATCAGGACTGACTGTGAGAGTTGCAAATATAAAGGTAGACGTTTTATAGCAAAAGGAGAGGAGTGGTTGATTTTGCAGTCCAAGAGTGGAGGACCTGGAACCATCAAGGGAGAAAAGCGGAGTGTGGGACCCTATCCAGAGAAGCAGTGACGCCAGAGATGGAGGCAGAGATGATGATGTGGACAGATGGAGCGGCTGGGGACTCCAGACCCAGAGAAGGAGAGGAGCTGTGTGCTGATGGTGCTGATGGCTGGGGGCCAGGCTTGCAGGGTGTACCCTCTGGTTGTTTCATGATGCATGGAGGGTATTGTAATCATTGCAATGAAATGAAATACAACAGGATGAATGTAATGCTAATGTTCTCCCATGTAAACTATCACTCAATTTACAATCAAAACAAATGTATATGTATATGTGTGTGTGTATATATATATATATTTATAATTAACAATTTTTAAAATTGTATTTTTGAAGACTTTGGGTCATATGGCACACTAGGCAGCCACACTACACACTATATTACCTCTACAACAAAGATAGCAAAGACCAACTACAACAAACACAGAGGAAGGTTAGAGGCATCGACTGGGTGCTTGCTGGTAGAAGAAGCTGAGCAAGGACAGAGAGAAGGGAAACTGACGCAGCGTGACCATCTTGAACTTTCTGAGGGCAACTTTGGTCTGGCAGAACAGAGTCATGCAGGTGACTGGAAAGGTGCTATTCCTTCTTTCTGCCCACACTCCCGTAGTGACCAGTGATGTGGCCAGCTCTCACCCTCATCTACCCCAGCAGAGCCCTTGCTCTCTGGGAGTTTGGAGTGGCTGGAAACCAAGCAAGTGCGAGGCAGGGGCCGGCTATTCTGATATGGTGTACCAATTGGTACCTAGATTCACGTGGGCTCAGTTGAGGACCTTCTGAACCCTCAGAGCCACCAGACCAGCATTTAATCAGTCACCCTGTCCCCAGCTGCCCTGCGGTCCTAACAGACACTGAAATTAGCACCAGAGCACCACCAAGGGTCTCCATTAACTACTTCCAGATTTAGAGCCCAGAACATAGCTAACAAGATGGCCTAAAGAACTCCACGTAGGACCAGAAACTCTTCTGTCACATCCCTCTCAAACCCACCTCATAAGCTCCTTGGCTTGCAAGAGCACCCCAGAGTTTTCTCCACTCCAGGTCCAACAGCTGCACTGTTTTCACACTTTTGTTTTTGTTTTTTTTTTTCTTTTTGCTGTTTCATTGTTTTTGTCTATTATTTCAACTCCCTCTCTTTCCATTTCCCTTGAATTTTATCCTTTCTAGCTCTACATTTGTTTTTCCTTCTTTTTTTCTGTTTCTCATTTCCCTTCTTTTTCCCCCCCCTTTTGATCTTTTTTTACTACTCTTTTTCTCAGAGCACTGGTGTGGCACTGTAGGATATGTACTCAACCATAATATCTGTTTGAACCACAAGACTGGAGGTTCAAACTCACCAGCAGCTCCTTGGAAACCCTATATAGCATTGGAACCAACTCAACAGCACTTAACAGCAACAACAACTCTTTCTTCCCATTTCCCCTCTCACTGGTTTTTCTAAATTAAATGTCTTCCTTTTATTTCTTATTTTTTCTTTTATAGTTCCATTTTCCTGTCTCTCTTTTCTCTTTTTAGTTGTTCTTAAATGTCTTTTTATTCCTTCCTTTTACTTTCTCTCTTATTTTTCTCTTCTATAGCTTCATTTCCCTGCCCTTCTTTTGTCTTTACAGTTGCTATGTTCCTTTTTTTGTGGTTGCTGCCTGTTTTTCCCTCTTCTCTTTATCACTTTATCATTTCATGGCTAATCCATTGTTTATTCTGTTTTGTTTCCTGGAGACAGGAGAGAGGAACCATACTCACACAGCCCAGCCACAACTGGTCCCTGTGCAGCTCTACCAACTGGGCAAGAATCAATACCAGTTCCTGTACTACCTGATCAACAGTAGGTAGACAGTAGCTAACACCAGTCAAGCCACACTAATCTGAGGTACACGAATGGTGACCAAGAACAATATACGTGTTTCCATTCTCTAACTACACTCACAGGAGACTGCCAGTGAAAGTCAAAGAACACATCAACATACAGTCATCAGTTAAGTACAAATATAGCCATCTCACAATGCCGCAGAGACGACATTTTAGCTCACATGAAGAAACAAGAGAGAATGGCTCATATAAATAACCAAGATGTAGAGCCAGTAAATGTTTCTTAGGAAGAAAAGGTAATGAACTAACTGAAAAAGAATTCAAAAGAATGATATTGAGTTAAAGGACTGACAAAAAAGATCGATGAAAGCAAGACAAATATAGAAAAAAAAAAAACTTTAGAAGAACTCAGGAAACCATTACAAGAACAAATAGACAAAATAAATGAAAATTTTTAAACAGTACAAAACTTGCAATTAGAAATCCAGAAGATTAATACTAAGATTTCAGAAATAGACAATACATTGAAAGGGCAAAGGCGTATATATGAGGCAATGGAAGCCCAAATTGGTGAGGTTGAAGATAAATCTCTCAACAGTAGTATGACAAAAGAACAATCAGATAAAAAGACTGAAAAAAATTCAAAGAAAGCCTAAGAGTTATGTGGGACACCAAGAAGAGGAATCGCTTATGAATGATCAGAATTCCAGAACAGGAAAAGACAATAAAAACACAGAGAAAATTGTCAAATAGTTGTTGGAAGAAAACTTCTCTAGCATCATAAAAGATAAGAATATACAAAGCTGAATAAAACTCAAACAGGATAGCCCTCAAAAGAAAATCACTAAGATGTATCATAATCAAACTTTCAAAATCCAAACACAAGGTAAGAATCCTGAGAGCAGCTCAAGAAAACCAAAAAGTTGCCTACAAAGGAGAACCAGTAAGTCTAAGTTTTGATTTCTCAGCAGAAACCATGCAGGCAAGAAGGCAATAGGATGACATACACAAAACTCTAAAAGAAAAAAAACTGCCGACCGAGAATCGTATACCGAGGATAGCTGTCCCTCAAATACAACTACAAAACAAAAAGTGTAGATACAGAACTTCCAATGGCAAGAAAGTCAGGTAGATTTCAAGATGAAATACACGGTTTTAAACAGGGAAAAAAAAAGGAATAAATTACAGGGTAACCTCAAGAAAATTAAAACACCTAGACATCCAGATAAAAAAATAAGAGGAAAATTGAAAGATTTAGTAATCATTAACATAAGAGAAATTAAAATAAAAAGAAAACCCACAAATAAAATGAACTCACCACAGAAAATGATGCAGAATAAACAAACCACCAACACCACAAAAAACCCACAGCAAAATGACAGTAATTAATTCATAGCTATAAATAATTATGGAATCCTGGGGTGGTGCTGTAGGCTAATGCATCAGACTGCAAAGTCGTTTGAACTGCAAGGTCAGCGGTTCAAGCTCACCAGCTGCTCCTTGGAAACCCTATTCAGGGTCACCAGGGGTCGGGATCAACTCAACAGCACTTAACAACAACATCATAAATAATTATACCGAATGTCAATGGATTAAACGCACCAGTAGAAAACAAGATCCTTCCATATATTGTCTAAAACAGACACATCAAAAAGATGGAGACAGCCTAAATGTCCATCAAGAGAAGAATGTTTAAACAAACTTTGGTATATATACACAATGGAATACTCTGCAACGCTGAAGAATAACATGATCTGTGAAACACCTCCAAAATGGATGAAGCTCCAGAACCTTCTGCAGTGGGACATTCCCACTAGAAAGGACAAGCAGACCAGCCTGGAACAACTAGAATGACAGAAGATAATATCTTCAAAGAAAGGTCATCAGGAAAAACCTGAACTAAAAAATGTCAGTATGACTGGCTACTATAAGAACAAGCAAGTTATTTGCCAGGAAGCCATCAAGTCAAGCAATCAAGTCCCTTCAGGACAAACCCCCCTCTAAAATTGAAGCTCAAAGGGAACACATGAGCAGGCATATAAGATTGCTGGC